TACGGTATCGAATGAAGGTACCAGACGACATCAGGACCCCGGGCATACTGGTATATATGTTTGATCTTAGTGCGGACATAAACGGCCAATTTTGAGGCCTTATGTCGGATATTTAGGCGGACATAAAAGCCCAAAATTTCGGTCCATGTCCGGTATATCACGGCGGACACAAGGGCCTTGCCGGTCTTGGTGTCCGATCACCTGGCGGACATACGGAGTCGTCGAAGTGTCACACCCAGTAGTCCTTGTACTAGGTTGAGTGGTGTCTCTTATGCTTCTCAGTCAACTGTCAGCTCGTCTCGTGTATATCCAGGTATATCCTCAGCAACGGTGAATGAAATGCAAGCTTTGGAAACAGTGGTGGATCCTAGGAAGACTGAAATACAATATCCCGGAGTAATCATGTCACGATCTACTCGTTGCAGCGTTGGGCGTGTGCCGGTTTCGAGGTTGGATCCGTTTGGCGGACACACCGGGGGACGCCCGAGCATAGGTCACTTATGCGGACATAAGCAGCCCAATTTGGGCTGACCGGATCCTAGAGGCGGACATATCCGGTCCAAATGTGTGAGGCCATAAGGGCCGAAAATCGGGCACTTAGGATCAAACATCAGTACCCATATGCCGGGGTCCTACGACATCGCGTGCCACATCCAGTCCGTGCAGAGACTGTATCCTATCGGGCTCTCGCCGTCGACCCTGGCCGGCTCACAGTCCTTCTCACTCCGGATTCTTGAGGAACTCACGCCGGAACGAACTCGAACTCGACTCTCCCGGGTGTACACCTGCCAGATTGTATCCATCGACCGCGCTCACATGGGAGCCGATTCCCCAGTGTTATGCCTGAAGCTTTTCGACGACAGATTTCTGCACATGGATGATCCTCGCGATGACGGATATAGTGATGAGGAGCCTCCCGGAGAAAGTGAACTCGAGCAGTGGTGGAACCGGTATGAGAACGAAGAGAACGGGGTACGCTGTGAGGACATGACGTATGAGCGGCTACGATTCATGCAAGGATCCCTCCTGCCTTGGTATTATGGTGCGCACAGGGTGAGTGCAGAGGTCGAACTCGCGGACGGTGAGAGACGGAACTGATTCTGCCTTCAGTTAACACTCCCTGGGGGGCACACCATATACGGCATCCTTATGGAGTACGTGGGCGGTGTACCACTGGGCGAAGGTCATGCCGCTCATCTACCTCCACAACAACAGGTGGAACTGGTACGTTGGCTTGTCTATCAGCATTGTTTAGCCTTTGTGAGCTTTCTCCATAGATAAACAGCCTGCGTCTCGGTGTTCGAGGCATGGAACATGCCGATGTTTCTCAGCATGACTGGCACAGGAAGCAAATCCTCGTCAGCGCCCGCTCGACGTCTGATAGCATGCTGGGACCTAGCGTCCACTGTGTCCTTGTTGACTTTTCTTCTTGCTCCACGTCCCTTCATGCCTCTGATTTCCACAGGGACGATGACTTTGGGACGTGTCTCAGTTACCTCGTAAGTCCAGACGCTCACCTGGACGCAGAGATCGTGTTGGAACACTGGGGAGAAAGGCAAATTTGGGACACCATATCTGCTACTGTCAACGTGCATGGGGAATTGCGGGGCGTAAGGAAACCTGAAGATCCCTACAGGTTTGTCTTTGCGATGAATGAGGACCGACGCCGAGATTGATTTGCGATAGTCCTAGTATTGGTTGATCTATTTCTTTCTCTCTACCTTGTTTTCCTCCAATCCTGTGCTTTCAGCTATTGCGAGCACCCCTGCCTCACTCCTCTGATACTCATATTACTCGGGGCGCCCAGGATTGAGTTTCCCTACTCATTTATAGTCACCTATACTGTGTCACGTACTGGGGAGTTTTCAAAGCACAGTCCCTCCAGTGTCTGCAGATATGTGTGAGCAAGAGTGCGGTTGGATAAAGGATATGTCACCGTCGAGACAGAGAGAAAGTCTCGGAAAGAAGCTCGACCGGGAGCTCCTGTATCGGCGAGCGCATACTTGGTAGCGCCATTTCCGTGTCCTAGGTCGCTCGTTTCCGGTGAATATAAAATAAAACAGATTGACATGAACTCTATAGTCACAGTATGCGAAGATATAAGGGTTGAACGAGAGATATGGAAGTTATAGCTGCAAACCGTTACGTTCGAAGGATGTGAAGGTTGGAGACCGCACCGCTCCTCAACGCCGAGCAACGCAGGTACTCGCAGCGGACTGTTTCAGTCGATATTCACAGTCCTTTTCGAAGTTTTGAGACGGTCCAAGTTGTCTAAATCAGACTCGTTTAGACGCTGCATGCAGAGGTAGTTCACTGTAAAATACTACGCAAGCTAAGAATTGAGGGGTCTGCAGACAGAGTCGCGGTATTTTCGAATGATGCTAGATGCACTGTGGGGGGAACTAGCGCTGCACAAGATCAAGAACAGTGCTAGTAGAAAGAAAGGAATGATTCAAACGTGGCACTCGTTAGATCTGAGGGGCGTCGCTGGCCCGGGCACCTCTGAATCCTGGAGCAGATGTTGTATTTGCTTGTCGAGATCTGTGGAGGAAGGACACAGTGTTTATGTATCGCACAATTGTTATGTAAGTTGTAGCCCGAGGGAGACACGCTGTGAATACCATTTATGGTACTATCATTGCCCAATACGGATATGTCGAACCTTTGATGACAAGCTTCGCCACGCTGCGGTTGGCTTCGCTGTCGTCTTTACATAATCTCGGTTATATCACCCCCGGGACGCCCAAGAGCACCGCCGCCTGGGTGCCCGAGTTCATTAAAGCCGTCTTGACGACGTTATTCCATCTGGACGAGCAGGAGACATGGCGCCTGCACCGAAGAAGGCCCTCAAACTACGGCGAGCACTGAAGTCGGCGGCGTCGGCGGCTCGACTGCCAACGCGCGTGACGGCGGGGCGATCTGTGAACGCTTTCGCTCCTATTCCCGGTGAACTCCCGGTCGTGTTCTTGCGGGTGCAAGTCCTGGGATGCAAGGATCTGCTGGCAAAGGACAAGAGCGGCAACAGCGACCCGTAAGCATGCCAAATGTCCGGTATCGACCGCTGTCACGCTCATGAATCCTTACAGCTTTGTGGTGGTCTCTTTGCTGAGCACCAAGCATCAGACGCCGGTCGTCAAGCGTTCAACGAGCCCTATATACGCTGAGAAGGAGGCTACGTTTGACTTCCCGATATACCTGTCGCTGGCTGAGAAGCTCGGCGTCGTGGAGCTGGTGGTATGGGACAAGGACATGCTGAAGAAAGACTATCTGGGTGAAGTGTCACTGCCTCTGGAGGACTGGTTCAAGGGTGGTCGGGCTTTGGGATTCGACGACCCGAATAACAAGGTCCGCCGCTTACGTCCAAGATGTCTAATGCGGACGGCTTACACCTTGACAGCCGTTCACTGCCCCGGTCGTATCGACCAGGACTACTACGAAAGCAAGAGGCACCATCGAAATTAAGCTCGGCTTTGTTCAGCCTCCTAATACAGAGTCTTTGCTCGACTTTGACGAAATCTACCAAGATCTTGTAAAGCGCTCTCGGCCTAGCTTGATGTCTGCGCCTCCGGTAGGTTTCCCGTACCCCGCTCCGTCGCCATCATCCTAATGTATCCAGACCGAAGGCATAGGCACTGTCCGATCGAATCAAGGAGGTCCTTTGTTCGAAGATGACGGGTTTAGCTCAGACGAAGGTGAGGGCCCCACCGACGAAGAGGACGAAGAGCCTGCCTCGCCGCGCTTCACCGAGATATACGCGGGCCCCTCGACGCCTCTTGTTGACGAGCCCCATTCGGTCAGTCTGCCCCTCAGCCCCACCACTCCCACTGCCCCCGATCGTAGTCCTACAGCGGAGAAGACGCCCGTCGCGCCGAAACCTTCGTCGCAGGTCTTCAAAGTGCCCAAGGTGCTGAGGCGCCCGACGATGTCTCCTACTCCCTCGTACGACTCATCTTCGGTGCCCACACCTACAGCACTAAGTCTCGATGGCCGGACGCGGTCTTCCCCGGTGCAGGACATGCGTGGGCGAAGCGTCAGTGCGGGTCCGCCCTCGACCCCACGCACCGAGAAGAAGGGGCCGAAGTTCAGGAAGTCTTGGGGAGGGAAGAAGGGTGCTTACAACTTCTCGGCGGCCAATGATATCGTTGGAATTGTTATGCTCGAGATCCACGGCGCCGAGGATCTGCCCCGGCTCAAGAACAGTAAGTGTCTTTAATGGGGTCCTGCCAGACGAACGATCTGACTTTCCTAATTTCTCCAGTGACGAGGACGGGTTGGGACATGGACCCGTTTGTAGTCATTTCGTTTGGTAAGAAAGTCTTCCGAACTCGCGTGATCCGACACTCTCGTAATCCCATCTGGGACGAGAAACTGCTCTTCCACGTGCGACGGTACGAGACATCGTTCAAAGTGCAGTTGACGGTGCTCGACTGGGACAAGCTATCTTCAAACGACCATGTCGGGGATGCATCGTTCAATATTTCGGAGCTATTAGCGGATGTGCCTGCAAAGGACCCCGCTACTGGGCTGTACACTGATGACACGAACGGCGACACGCCCATGAAGGAGTTCAAGCTGCCTCTGTCCACGGCGAAGGAGATGCCCTGGGAGGGCCGACACAACCCCACGATTACCTTCAAAGCGAAGTACCAGCCCTACGACGCGCTCCGCCAGCGCTTCTGGCGACAGTACCTGAAGCAGTATGACACGGATGACACGGGCGCGCTCTCGCACGTTGAAATCACGTCAATGCTGGATTCTCTTGGCTCGACTCTGTCAGCGGAGACAGTCAGCTCTTTCTTCACGAGGCATGGTAAGAAGCCTCACGAGGACGAGCTAACCATCGCGGAGACAGTACAATGTCTCGAGGAGGAGCTGTGCCGGCCCGCGAGCGAAAAGAAGCGGATCACCTCCGACTCGGACGTACTTTCCACGGACACAAGTGCGCCCGTCACCCCCGCAGTTGCTGGGGACAACGCTCCTGGGACCGCGCTGGATATGAGCAAAATGAACTTTTCGGGCCCGCCCATGGCCCCGCCCCAGGAGGCGTATTCACAGCCTGAGGAGGAGCCCATAAAGAAGCCGTCGTTGCCGCCCGCGTACCCCACAGAGCGGACGCAACAACCCTTGCAGGATCTAGCCGTTGGGTTGCCAGGGCACCCCGCGCGGGTAGTACCTCCATCCTATCCTGGGCCCGTGCATTCCAACTCATCTTCATCAATATCTGATACCGAGGATTACTCTGGATCTGCGTCGACGTCCCCGTCGGATCAGTCGCCATCGGCGGGGTCGCTGGAAAGGGTCATCAATGTGAAGAATTGCCCACTGTGTCACCGTCCGAGGATGAATTCCAAGGCTGAGATGGACATTGTAACTCATTTGGCTGTTTGTGCCAGTCAAGACTGGGCCCGGGTGGATCGAATTGTCGTGGGTAACTTCGTAACCGCTAGCCAGGCGCAAAGGAAGTGGTACACGAAAATAATCTCGAAAGTGTCCAGTGGGAACTATAAGCTGGGAGCGGTTAGTTTACCTGTCGGTGGCACGCTGGTGGCAGGACTGATGAATTTGAAATGTTTGCCCCAGAATTCCGCGAATATCATCATCCAAAATAGAATGACGGGGCAGTTAGAGGAGGAAAAGATGCAGGTGTACGTTAGACTGGGGATTCGACTTCTGTACAAAGTGCGTCGTGTGGCGTGACCGCTCACAGAATTCACTAATCTTCTTCCATATAGGGGATGAAAGGGAGGATGGAAGGGGCAAGAGGTATGTGTCCCGCTGCTTTCGCACGAGCCTGCGCTCAATCTGTCGCAGCCCGTAAACTTCTTAAATCCTTGTCCATCAAGCAGGGTATCAAATATGATTCTCCAGAATCGGCCCGCGACATTTTACCATTCATAGAGTTCCATAATTTGAACGTGGATGAGATCCGGGATCCTATCAGCTCATTCAGTGAGTCTACGTATTCTTTACCTTTGTGCCCCTGCTGAGACCAGGACATAGAAACATTCAACGAGTTCTTCTACCGGTAAATACTATCCATCTCGCACACGATGACCTTATTCACTTCTAGTACAGAAAGCTAAAACCGGAAGCGAGACCTGTTGAATCCCCCAATGATCCAGGCCGACTTGTGAGCGCGGCTGACTGCCGGCTTATGACCTTTGAGACCGTCAACGAGGCTACCAAGCTGTGGATAAAGGGTCGCGAGTTCACTGTGGCGCGACTTCTTGGTGACGCTTACAAAGACCAAGCCGAACGATACAACGGGGGTGCCCTTGCCATATTCCGGTTGGCGCCGCAAGACTACCATCGCTTCCATTCTCCGGTGGATGGTACGATTGGTCCAATGACGTACATCGCCGGAGAATACTATACTGTCAACGTGAGTGCGCTCTGACAGCACGTTGATGCGAGGAAGGTGACTGACCGTTTGGTTTCACGATCAGCCGCAAGCCATCAGAACCGCATTGGATGTGTATGGGGAGAATGCTCGCAAGATCGTTCCCATTGACAGTCCGCAGTTCGGTCGCGTGATGGCTGTCTGCGTTGGGGCCATGATGGTGGGTACAATCCGGACAACCGTTCAGGAGGGCGAACAGGTCAAGCGAGGCCAAGAGTTTGGATACTTTGCATTTGGTATGTCCGTCTCTTTTGAGATGGCTATCAGGGCTAACTTTTGAAACTCCAGGGGGTTCTACGATTGTCATGCTCTTCGAGCGGGGAGTCGTGGAATGGGATGAAGACCTGCTCATCAACGGGCGAGCATGCCTGGAGACGCTCGTTCGGGTGGGCATGGGCATCGGCCGAAGTTTGCGATCTCCCAGCCCCTTGGCCAATGGGAGAGCGTAGGCCAATGATCAAATGAACGCACTATTTATTATCATCTTGACATATCGTACCTTTGCATTGGCTTATACCAACAATGACACTAATCGGACTTACGAACAAGCATTGGTAGTACTAGGACCACACCCGCAGATGATATCCCGATAACCCTGATCCTCGGTTCATCTTGTACATTACGTTAATGATAGTGTAAAGTCTAGCTTCACCTCCGCCTGCGCATGCTTTACTACGGTACCGTACGTCGCATAATAGTTTGCTCAATTCGTGATTCGACGTAAAGTACTTCGACGCGACGCGGTCATGTGACATCATATAACGCGCTCCCTCTCCATATATTATACGCGTGTAACTGCCATCTCCTGATCGCTCGCTCGTCGAGAACTTCCCATATCATCATGAGCAAGACGACATCCGTGATTGACTTAACTGTGGACTCTCCAGCCGCCTCGCCCTCCAGACCTAAGCTACCATGTAGCACCAAGTTTGCGGGGAAGTCTTTCTACATCACTGGGACATGGGTCACCATGACGGCGGACCATGCGCGGGAACTATGCAGGGCGAATGGAGGGTCAGTACTTTCCTTCAGTACTTCTATCTGGATTTCGGCTGACCCAACCAAAGGCGGGTCGTCAGCGCGACATCAGAAAGCGTGGATTACATAGTTCTGGGAGCGAAGGGGACGCTGCAACACGTGCCATTGGCAAAGCCATCGCAGAAGCTGACTGAGAGGGAGTTCCTGGACATGATATTGGCCGAGGACGCGCAGGCAACGATGAAGGGTCGAAAGCGACCGGCGCAAGATGAGAACGAACCTGTTCGCGGTGCCCCTTCGAAGCCCGCGAAGAAGAGCCGCACCTCGGATGCAGGACCTGAGGCTGTTATAGGGTATAAGAGGGTGCAGGACTTCATCTGCAACGGCTACGTTGAACTCAAGGGAAAGACGCTGAAAGCATACGATTGCGGCGGCGAGGTGTATAAGGCGCAGAGGGGCAAAAGTATCCAGGATTTATTGAGCAAGTTTGAGGCTTGGTTAGAGGAGTGCGATGGGGTACGTCTCTCTGCGTCAAGTTAAGGGATTAAAATATGTTCTCACTGGACGAACCCTGTACAGGAATATCATTACCGAATGATGAAGGGATATTAACTTGCATCCAGTTGAAATCATCCCAGGATATCATGGACCAGGGACCGGTATCTTATATCCTGCGCTTGGATTAAGTAGGCTGTGTGGCATCTGCGAAATGGTCTTTGCTATGTAAGATAAGTTGTAGAGTGGGGATAGTCTATAGCGAGATGTTGTTTATACGACGCAAATAACATAGATTGTAAAATGAATATGTCTTTGCATCCGCTCAGGACTGAGCGAACAGAGAAGTCTAGCTGTTTCCGACTCAGTCCTCAATGATGGGCAACGCAGTGCCAAAAATCTCGAGCGTAGTCAAGGGGTGTCGATTCTCGCTCACATAGCGGGCAAGCACCAATGTCCCACCACCAGACATTCATCATTCATGAAATAGGTGGGAGAACACTTTCCTTGCATGCTCTGAAGTGGGACTTGGCAGAGACATAAAGAATGAGAGAACAATGTCAATCAAATGTCCCCTGACTTTTAGAGGGCATAGTAAATGTCCCGCTGACTTGCCTTTGTTCATTCAAAGGACATTCTCCATGTCCAGGTCATGGTCCAACAAAGACCATTCTAGGAAAGTGTTCTCCCCACCGGGGCATGTTCATAGCATGCTCGCCGGCGGGACATCGGTCTCTGCCCGCAGTGTCAGGCTTGTCCGGGAGGGAGATCTAGGACAGGATCAGACGATCACTGCAACTGAGCCACCGCGTCTGCGCGTCTACGTTGCCACTCACTCTTGATGAGATCACCCGCGAGCTGCCAGCACGAAATCGTAGGGGTCTTCGGGCTGTTTAACGCTCCGAATTTTCTGATTCACGTTGGCAGTGGCAGATATGGTGTCCCAAATCTGCCTTTCTCTCCACTGCTCCCAGACGATTTCTGTGTCCTGTGACCAAGTGAGTGTCGGGACGCAGGAGGCTGCTGACACATCCCCCGAGGTCATCATCCCTATGCCAATCAGATCGTGAAAGAAGTGGAGCAGGACGAACGGTCGAGAAGAACATAGTGAACACTCGGCCTGCAGATAATCAGACGTCGGAATTGAACGGAGGATCTTATTTCTGTGCCAGTCGTACTGAGAGAAATCGGCTTGCGCCAGACACGAACGGCGAGGCGCACGCTCTGTACCTGAAGATCTGACGTGGTAGACCGTGGACCAGACGATATACGCAAAGAACATACCAGTTCCAGTTGCTGTTCCGGAGTCAACTGAGCGGCGTAGCCCTCGCCCAGCGGTACAGCGTCCACATACTCCATGAGAATGCCGGACGCCGTGTAAACCGCCCGCCCCAGGGAGTGTAAACTAGGGTATAGAACTGTGTCGAACCCCTTGCAGTGCGCGAGAGTAATATCAACGCCGGACGCGTGCGCGCCATAATACCAAGGACCCTTGCATGAAACGTAACCGCTCATACGTCATATCCTCAGAACGCTCACCACTGCTCGAATCTCCATGGCTCTCGAGGTCCACTGGCGTCGTATATGTCATCATCGCGGGGATCATCCATGTACAGAAATCGGTCGTCACCTGTCCTTTATTGTAGGAACGGGAGTCTTGGTTTTCACGATATAAACTCGGTGTTATAACTGTGGGTACAACCGGGTCAGAACATCTCAGAAGGGCTAAGGAAAATAACCCGAGCGAACGTACGCCGAAAGGAGCGTGCAATTATTGGGAGGTAAGAGCACCCCAAACGCGTCTGTCGTCAAGAAATAGGATGCGAGGGATGAACGTACATTGTTCAACTGCAACGCCTGCGGAAAAGGATATCCGCCAGAATCTGAGGACCTGAGAGATACTTGCACGGGTGCAGGGCATCGAAGAATGTGAGTCCTCTCGTGGACCGGGACAGGGTCTGTGCATTGCGTTCAACAGCAGGCATGTCGGTCCTACCCCCAGTCTGGAACTAAAAGGGACATCAGCGGCTGAAGCTACTCGCAATCACCAGATTTTGAGCACTAGACGAACGAAGAGTCAACATATGGATCTCGACAAGCGGTCTTGCAGCTTTGAAGCTTGAGATCAGGGAGGTGATGAAAACCCAGTGAAATTAGGCCGACCTACAACGTGATACAATGATAATGTACACACAACCAGTCTAAGTCGTCACGAACGGGAATACATAAGATAACAGAAAGGGGATCTCGGAACAAGGGAGGGCGGGGTATATGGATCATCGATGACGCAGCGATAATATAACAGTCATTATAGATGTCCTGCTGCAGGCGGCATGAGCATGAATGCACAGAGGATTAACGTTTGTATATGCGGCGCACCTAGAGTACCTGTCCACCATATTTACTCGTCGCTGTCACCAGCGTCGGCCTCATGCTCTTCGTGCTCCTCCTGCTCTTCCGTCTCGCTCGAGGCAGCGGGCTTCTTGGCTTTTCTCGGCGCGCGCGTCTTCTTCTCCTTCTCTGCCTTGGGTTTTGGGGCAGCACGAGGCTTGGGCTCCTGGCCGCGGTTCGGATTCTCCGGGGCATCCCGCCACAACTTGGCGACCTGAGAGCGGAGGTCAGTCCTGACGACACAGGGGGAAGTGGCAGACTGACCTCGGCCATAGCCTCTTTCACGGACATGCCATCATGCTCAGAGCGGTACTTCTGAAGGTTCTCCTTCATAAACAGGTTGTATGCAGTAGGCGCGCGCTTAGGCTTGTCGGCCTTCTCTGCCTTCTCTGCAAGCAATCAAGAGTTAGATAAGGTGTCTAAACATAAGAGAGGGTCGGGATGAAAATAGCACGAGGAGAGCAACATGACCGTCGCAATCGAGGGTTAGGGTTGCGCATATACACGGAAGGAGACCGAGTAAGGCATATATGCGGTTATACATATGCAGATGTATGCGCGACGGGGGGGGGGGGGCAAAGGGGGTAACCGAAGAAGACGCTAACCTTTTCTCGGGCGCGTCGTCTTCGCATTTGCAGACTTCGTCGCGGTCTTCGTGGTGGTTTCTGGTCGGCATCAAGTCAGCCATCACTCGCCATCAGCAAAAGTAAGCTTGCTCACCCGTAGCTGTCTTTGCCATTGCGGGGGACGTCGAGGGGGGTCAAGGAGATGGTGGTGGGAGGAAAGAGAGATTGAGGGGATAAAGGCAAGATGGGGATTAAATAAGAGACGCAAAAGCGGGGCTTCAAAACCGAAGTCAACGAACAACCAAACAGGCCCAACAAGCGCGTCGTGGGGTCCACGTGACCATGGTCCGTGCGGGGTCACGGGTTGCTCCCGAAATAGCACTGTCTCAGCCACAGCCAGGCTATTCTGGGGTACGGCTGTTGCCGGGAAGCCCATATATTAATGCCAGCGGTTGACGACGACGGCATCTCTTCCCCTTTTCCCCCAACCTCGTCGCCGTCGCGCGCAGCATACAGCTTTTCTTTCCTCTTTACACCTATTAGTCGTCTAAATGGCTCGCTACGCTCTTTCAACCCTCTTGGCTGTCGCCGCTGTATCGTCCCCGCTCGTCTTTGCTCAAGACAGCACCACTCCTCTTGCGTCAAAGCACTTCTCTTACCCTTCTGAGATCGTAAGTCTTGAGTGTCTAATTCAAATTGTTCGCGGGATTGACTTTTTCGGTAGCCCTACCAAGTTGATCCCGCCGATGGCGTTCGTGGTCCCCAACAGGGCTACAACTTGTGCAACTCTACCACCGAGAATCAGAACTCTATGTGTCAAACCTCTTTTGTGAATCACATTGATGGTAAGTTTTCACTTTTGGGCGTTTTTGGGCCCTGCGAACGTGTTTCATCTCCCAATACTCACGACGACAATCATTTGTTCCATAAATAGACTTCTGTTTGTGGGCACCCCCCAAACCTGACCAGACCATCGGTGACACTGAGGGCGAGGAAGTCGCCTGGTGCACGAAGAAGGGTCATGGTACCCGTCTCATCCCCGACGGCGCTCTTCAGGGCGTTCAGTACCTCAAGACTCCTGACTACATCCAGATTGTTGGCTTCATCGACCAGAAGCAGATCAACATTGCTTCTGATGACTTCGGTGGCGAGTTGGACCCCCACGGTGCTGACCTTGTGAGTGTCCCTTTGGCTAGTTCAGGCAGAACGATGTTAATACTCCTATCAGCGTGGCAACCCCCTCGGTGGTCTCATGTACTCTAACGCCTTCCCCAGCAACAATGGCAACAACGACTCTTACCAGCAGGTGATCGAATGGCACAAGTACGTCCGTCTGTCATCGTGATGCAACTTCTGATGCTCACTCCCCGGCTCAGCTTCATGGGTGGCAATGCCTTCTGTATCAAGGTTTGCGACCCTGCCGGTGCTCACGCTGCCGACTACTGCCAGCACATCTTTGACCGCATTGGTTGCGCGTACAACGACCCCAACCAGGCCAAGAACGGCACCTTCGAGGTCTGCGACTCTGACAATGCCGACTACCCGGGTGTCTACACTTCGAACGGCCAGGTCATGACCTACACCCAGCCCCCCGAGTCGCTCGGTGCCATCACCACGATGCCCTACACCGCCCGTGTCGCGGCGTCGTCCAACTGTGTGCAGTATGAGTCGAAAGCTCTCTACACCGACCTCGCGTCCGTTGCTGGCTCCGGCTCGAGCGCATCCGCCACCGGCTCTGTCACTGGGACTGCCAAGACTGCGGGTGCGACCGGCGGCAGCTCGTCACGCTCTGGGTCTGCTGCCCAGTCGAGCTCGACCGGTGGCACCAGCGGTGCTGAGGCGCTCGGCATCAGTGCCGTGTCCGGTATCATCGGTGTTACGTTCGCGATGATGTTCCTGTCATAATATGCTCACGACGTTCACGACGGCTGGGTGATGTTATGGGCAGGGTCGTCATTGGTAGTGTAAGAGTCGCGTTTGGGATTAATTGGATTTGGGAGGAGGAGAAGTTATAGAGGTGGACGTTTCATGACGCTTGACTGCAAAAGGCTCGGGTCCCATACCTCGCATCTACCTAGCATCATATTTTCTAGTACTAGTGCGTGTTCTCGGACACTCGCGAATGGACTCTTTTCGTACTTTTCTACCATCAATTCTAGTCTTGCGTGGATGGCAACTGGACGATATACCCGCTTACGTGGAGAATATACCTGGAATCTAATTCGTCAGGATAACTGTTGTGGACGCGGCATGTTTGACGAGTGGGTTGCAGCTGTTTACCGACGTAGTGCCTATATCGTTGACGACCATGTAATAATTCAGCCTTTCTCTGTTGTCAAGGCTATTTGAAGCTGACAGCCTGAGACCAGATAATCATCAGCACAGGTGGTTGAACCCTCCTCTTGAAATCCTACCGCGGTCATAAATTGCGGCAAGTGCAGTCACGGGGCATGCGGTTTCCTGCAACTGCGGATCCGCGCGCAGCGAAGCGTGGTAACCGAAACGGGTAGCTCATACGACGATAGGGGAAGTCAACTCCACAACGCCAGAGCCTCGCCATCGGACAAGCTCGTTCTCCACCGACGTAATGGCACTGTCAACACCCATCGACTGCGTCATTCAATGGCCCCAGTGACGACGGCGCCTGCCTTTGCGCGGTATATAATGCTCTGGGCCGCTGCGGGGCCCACCAGATTTCACGATTCCCTTACGACTTCATCCTCTTCACGAACCACGACTTTTTATCTGTAACGCGACATAATAATCATGGAAAAGGCTAGCTCTGTCATCGCTGCGTTCGACGCGGGCAAGATGCCCAGCCAGAAGCAGATCAGCCAGTTCATCGACTCGGTGCTCAAATCGGGCCTCGTTGAGGTCGAGCCGAGTGAGGGCAGCGGCGAGCTCAGCAAGCAGGGCAAGGTGCTCGCGCAAGACCTTCGCGATGTGTTGGAGGCGTACAAGAAGCTTGGGGAGGACAAGAACGGTGAGCATTGTCCACGGCTTACCATGCGTGGAGCACGGACTGACTTGCACGATAGGTGATGATCAGCTACAAGAGGCTTTCTGGCACCTGAGCGAAGGCGATCTCTCAAACACCTCCATAAACACCGGCATGGACGTCGACGAGGACGAGGCCTCCCGTGACGCTCGCGCCATCCGCGCCGCCGTGCGCAACTTCCTCTCGATCGCCTGGACGAACCTCTCCTCGGAGGGCTCCAACCTCTTTGACGACTTTGCATCGTTTGCGCGGCTCACGCTTGCCGATGCGGCAGAGGCCGTTGAGGTCGCCGCGTCCAAGACGAAGGAGGGCTTGAGGAGCCTGGACGAGGACATTCAGGAGGGCGAGCGTGATAACCTCGGCCGGAAGAAGAGAAAGATCGAGGACGAGCAGCCACAGGACCCCAAGGCAAAGTTCGAGAAGGGCATGGACACTGCGAAGGAGTATGGCTCCAGCGCTATCGGTGCCGGTCAGGAGGCGAAGGCTCGCGCTGAGAACGTGAGCAAGAAAACGAGCGATCGCCTCACGAATTCTTACTATCAAGTAAGCTTGGCTCGTATGTTCGAGTCTGCTCCCCCGCTAACGTTCTTCTCAGATGGTCGAGCGTGCTCAGAAAGATCCCCAATACCGCGAGTCCGTGACGACCGTATTCGACGTATGCCAGAAGTGGCTCGACAAGACCCTCGACACCGCTTCGGACGTGAACAAGGACACGTCGCTCGAGTCCTTCATCAACGACCCCACGCCCGAGCAGCACACCATCCAGTCGCTGCGCGCGATGCGCACGCTCGCCGAGCGCCTCGCGGGCGGCAAGTCGCTCGACGATCTCTTCGCGCACCTGCGCACGTGTCTGGTCGACATCCGCCAAGACGAGGACCTCAAGAAGTGGTTCAACGACTTCCTCGCGCACGTCCGCAGGAGCCTCGACGAGCCAGGGTACATCCACTCGGACGAGTGCTCTGAACGCTACTCTGAGCTGCGCCAGCGCTGGCGTGACTTGATGAACGCGGACTCGGAGGAGGGACGCAAGTGGAAGGCGGACGTGAAGAAATTTAACGAAGAGTGGACGGAGTTCAACAAGAGGATTGACCGTGACCAGGACGTGCAGAGGATCCGCAGCGCCTGGAGCAAGTTCGGCTCGGACTTGGAGGATGCTATGCTCGAGGCCGGGAGCACGGGCTTGCAGCTTGCCGCCGGTCAGGCGACATGGTTCTGGCAGGACGTCTTCAACGTCTACCTACCAAGAGTGTTTGCCTTCGTCAAGGATATCCCTATTCCAAGGTGGGTTGTGATTAATCTATTCTTCAATTGTTGTTCGAAGCTAACGTCGGGATTATAGAACTGAATACAAAGATGCCGAGACCGAGTTCGTGCTCGAGGACCTGGATATTTCTTCATTCAGCCTGTTACCCGGCCACGTCTTCATCCGCAATATCACCGACGTCGACATTTCCGCTCCACAAGAGGCCGACACGAAGACCGCTGTCGGTGCGTTCACGCACATACACGTCCAGGGCATGCAGCTCGCGCTTCGGGAGGTGTCGTTCTACTACCACGATAAGACTGCTTCCGTCGGCCCTGGTGAGTTCACGGGTCTGATGGAGTTGACGCTCCCGCCGCAGGGCATCGACATCGATCTGCGCGTGCGCATGCTGCCGAATACGCCCGCAGGTCTGAAGGAGCGTGAGAAGGTCGGCGGGTTCCAGAAGGTCGAGAGCGTTGACGTGAAGGTGACCGACGGACTGGCGTTTGACGTGAAGCAGAGCAACCACCCGATCCTGGTGACGATGTTCAAGCCGGTGATGACCAGTGTCGTGAAGAACGTGCTGGAGACGACGCTGCGTGAGCAGATCCGCGGTGCGATTGAGCAGGTCGACCATATGGCTTGGGACATTGGCAATCGTGCGGAGGTGTTCCAGGACACCGGCTTGCCTCGCGGCGCCAGTCTCATTGCTGGATTCTGGAGTGAACTTGGCAAGATGGCGAGGCAGCCTGGTGGGCTCACCGAGGGATGGAAGGCGACGGGCACTGGTGTTGTCCGTCGTGATCCGACCGCGCCCAAGGGTGCAGAGGCGCCTGTGTTCGCGATGGGCGCTGAGCCGCAGATCCTGAGCGGGGAGAAGCGTGGCCCGAAGGGTACCAACTCTGAGCCGCTGAAGGACAGGCTCGATATAGACGTCGATGCGAGCATGGAGAGTGCCCAGGAGGGTTTGAAGGGTGTCGCGCAGAAAGCCGGAGAGGGCGTCAAGCAGGGCGTGCAGAAGGTGCGGTCGTTCAAGGAGAGCGTGAAGCAGAAGGTCGAGGAGGAGAAGAGCCGGCCGGGATGGCAGAGTCCTGCTTTCGACGTCTAAGCCTTCGGTTGAGGGTCTGAATCATGCTCGGGGTGCGTGTACGAATGGAGATCGGCAGTATATGGTTTGCATGTATCAATAGTAGTGTAGCGATACGGAGTAATATATCTAATACCAGTCTCCTCGCAGTTCCGAAGTTTAGGGTGTGCGATGTCGATGCTGGTCGCAGATCACCGTCGCCACAAATATGGTAAACAAGTGCAACGTGCACGATTCGGACGACCACGTCACCGACTGCGAGAGGAGGAATTCATGAACTAATACTGACAGTTTTCTTCCTCGTAGCCGTTGGAGCGTCATCTGGAGCGTTGGGTATCACTCCTGATTTGCGGTGTTGAAAGCTTGGGCACACCACAATGCAACCGCGGCTCAAAGATAGAGAAGCGACCTTGCCCTCATCAAGTTGGGACAAAGTCCTTCGTTTGCTGGTAAGTGATTAAGGATCTGGAAAGCTGTACCGAACCCATTGATCTCTCAATTGGCTTAGTACAGAAGGCTACTCAACAGAACTATTGCAAGAGTGCGTCCTGAGTCATTGCCTCGAGGCTCAGTGAGGTCTCCTGCGTCCATATCCCTTGGGTAGTCACCGTGCGTATTCATATGCTCTTACCCTTGAATGTACGGGTGCACTCAATATATTTTCTCAATGTCGCCAGCTGTCACATCAATCATCCGCTTAGGAATATGGTTCAGGCCAGTTCGCCCTCGCCGATACAAGAAATCCCTGTCGAACTGTTGTCGGAGATTTTCAGCTTCTCTCTGTGTTTTGATCGGGAAAACCGCTGCGTTCAGCCATGCACCAGGGCAGCTCCTCTCCTTCTGATGCGAGTTTACAGACTCTGGAGGGACTGCGTCACCAAGACTCCTGAGTTATGGTGCTCGTTGGCGATCAATGTTACCTCCAAGTCCGACACTGTTAATCGGATGTCCGTGTGGCCATCCTGGCTCGAACAAGCAGGTTCCTCTCCATTGTCTTTGTCGGTGGATTTGTACTCATCGCTGTCCGACGAGGAAACCGAGGCGCTCAAAACGTTTCTACCCCGTTGCCGCTACCTATCCTTGGAGCTGGGGAAAGAACAATGTGCAGCGCTCCTTTCTGGTGTGCACTTTCCCGACTTGGAAGAACTGTCCGTACACTGCGAGCCAGACGTTGTATCGCCGCCAGCCGCTTGGCCTGGGTGGCCGCGTGGCGCCCTTTGCACTGCACCTCGGCTGCGGAAGCTGATTTTAAAAGGTGATATTGGTTGGGCACGTGAGGGTCTTGTCTTTTCGCCAACGTTGCTCAAGGAACTGGACTTCGATAAAGCACGTGCTTCCTTCTTTGTTATACCAGAGCTGCTGCGTCGGTGCGGCTCCTTGACCCGATGTGTGGTAGTGTTGCCACAAGATCTAACATTCAACACAACCACGGCTCTGCCCCAATTGCTGCAACTGCGATTGAGGAGCTTAGGTCTACCGGTGAACTCTTTCTTACCGTCACTTCGCGCCCCCCGTCTCAAAGTGTCGTTGGTCGACAACGATCAGGAGTCCCACCAAACGGGCGCTGTGACGACTTGTGTTCAATCTATCATCGGCTTAATATCTCGCTCGGATTGCCATCTACGAGAGCTCCGAATGTCGTGGTGCTGTTACCCATGCCGTGACCGCACAGAGTTTTCCCAGCTTCTCCAACTCCTCCCTTCCCTAGAGGTGCTTCACCTGGGCCACGGATCTATGGCGCTATGGCGAACCAATCCCGGTCAGGTCTTCGACTGCCTTACGTACAGGCCGAAAGACTCCGTTTCCCCGCTTCCTCGCTTGACGGAGCTGTCCATGCGCCTCTCGTATAAGATACAGGATTGTGGTCCCACCGTGGCTAGTGCCCAAGCCATGTTTCACTCGCGCATCGGAGGCCGACTATCAAGGACCGGATTGCCATCATGTCTCTGCTCGGCTTCCGTAGAAATCATCATCAAGGATGCTGCCTATGCTCTCATAAAGTGGTACGGACTAGAGTCGCGGCGTATCGTTAGAGAGATAAGGACAAGAGCGGGCGAGAGACATTCGGAGATAGTCGATCTAGAGAGCGCCCAAGCCTCGATAGATCGTCCATCCGCCTGTGACGGACCAGCAAGTGAACTGGGGAGGACTGCCAAGGCCTGTGTCATGAGATACTACAGTCTACCTAGCTTATTATACTCAGCCTACGGCCTAGAATATGTTCGGTTGGTTCTACTCTCATCATGTACATGTACCCCATGCCGCAATGATGCACAATTACTTCCAGTCAGCGAGCAAAGGTGCCGCTCATCAACGAGTGTCAAGCACCATGTCACTGTACTGTACGTCTAGAGTGTAGTACGCTCGGGTGTGTAGTATGTACAAAAACACAGATTGAGAATGCGTGGTTTCCCATGTGTTGATGCCTTCTGTGCCGTCCTGACTTCGCCGTAATCTTGAGTGAAGGTAACATTGAAACATAATTTCCCAAAGATTGCCAGCGGTCCTTCCGCCACAGATGTTGACAAACAAGTACAATGTCTGCTCCGGGAGGAGCCCAAGCCGGCGACGCGACTCGGGCCTCAGGTCTAGAGAGTGCCAGTGGCACGCTTGAATTGTTTCTTGGTCTTGCGCAGTACTAGCACCCTCCCCCCAGTGTATCTCGCCTTTGACAGACTGCGTCGACGATGCTGGCCGCTCCAGTTTTACCTCGCAAAGTACTTCATAGCCTTGCTCGTAAGTGAACGACCTCTGCAGGGGCCGAAACGAGTCTGACTTAAGTACCTTGGACTGATTCAGAAAGTCTGAAAAGGACCGCAGATATCGACTGAAAGAGCCCGCTGCGAGTAGCCGCGTTACTCTGCGTTGAGGCTCGGTGCGATCTCTACATCATTCGAACGTCACGGTGCGCAGCTCTAACCTCCTGATCTCTCGTTCGACCCTTACATCTTTGCACATCATGAGTACAGGCTTCTTGTCAATCTCGTTGCATTTATATCTCACAGCAACGAGCGACCTACGACCGGACATGCTGCCACCAACTCTGCACTCGCCGATCCAGAAGATCCCAGTCGAGCTTCTTTCAGAGATTTTCTCTCTGTGTATCAACGACGACGTGTCCTCTATTGAACCGTGCATTATAGCGCACCTGTGTTGCTCACACGTATCTGCAGGCTCTGGAGGGACTGTGCTCTAAACACTCCCTAGTTATGGTGTTCATTGGAGATATACGATGACGAATCCCACTTTGGACAATGGACGAAGACCGACGATGAACTGGCCGCGGGGCTTTCATCTCAGATATCTATCATGAAGTCATGGTTTTCCCGGGCAGGTTCTTGTCCCCTCTCTTTATCAGTGGTGCTGTGCTCCCCGTTTTCGGAACGCATTGAGCACTCCATCGAGATGCTCGCACCCTATATCCGTCTCTGCTGGCGCCTATCCGTGTACCCGCAGCACGACGAAAGAGCTCCACCGCTCCTCTCCGGCTTGCACTGTCCCATCTTGAAAGATCTGACAGTCCAATGCGAACAAGGCGCTTGCCTCGAGTGGCCGCGAGATGCTCCTTGCGTGGCACCTCACCTGCAGCGGCTCAACTTACCAGGCGCTGTCAACTGGGTACGCGACTGTTTGGTGTTTTCACCACTGAAGCATCTAAACCTTTCCTGGGAGTATGACATGGCCACGGGCGCTGAGATATCGGCACTGCTCTCACGCTGCACCTCTTTAACCCGATGCTGCGTGAAGCATCTACCTATGCTCGAATTCGATACTGTCACTCTGCCGCAGCTACTGCGATTGGACTTGTCGAGCCACGACCACACCAAGATGGGCTCCTTCCTGCGGGGGCTTTCTCTCCCCTGCATCCAAGATTTACGGGTGGAGCAGCGTTACATGGAGACAGCACCGGGACTTTTGGTGCTCAGTGCATCATCGATTTGATATCCCGCTCGCACTGTCATTTACGGAGACATAATGTCCTGGACAGCATATCCATGCATCGATCGTGCCGAATTCTGCCAACTTATCCAGGCCTTGCCCTCCCTAGAGGCGCTTCACATGGAGGATCAAACTGCACTGTGGCAGATCGATCCGGGGCGGGTAATCGACTGCCTCTCGTACAGGCAGACCGAAGCCACATCCTCTGGCCCGCTGCCTCGTCTGACCCATTTGACCCTGAACCTCGAGTTTACCGTGGATAGCTACCCCTCTGTTCCAAATGTCGAAGCCATGCTCCGGTCGCTCACTGGAGGGCAGGAGACCTCCTCTTTGTCATTATAGAAGTTGTGGTCGAGGAACCTCATCATGTTTTTGTCAAGTGGCGCAAGTTACGATCAGGACGCTTCGTTAGAAAGATGTTGAAACGGGGAGGTGGCACACATTCTGAACTAGTGAATCTAGGGAACGCCGATGTCCGTCTGGGATAGAGTTAGCGTGTTGGGAGACAATACCGTGTATTTCGCCTTAGCTCTTGATCGTCAGGCAACCATAATCATATCATATCAAGTGGCAGGAAAGATATGAGAAATTTGGGCACAAGTCGCCTTTTCAGGAGACTGCAACCGTACTTCAACTGCTCTATAGTGGTATATAATATCCACGGTACTCACGCTGCCAGTAATGTGAGCGTGAACCGTGAATCGAGAGCGGATACAGTAACTATTATTGTTGTGCGACCATTCACAAGCTACTGTCATTAATGTTCGACTCAATCAATGCGCGATAGGTTCGCTCACAGCATGGATGAGACTTGGTTGAGTGCTGTCGAGTACGCATTTATTCGAACCTGCCAGAATGGCAGCCTTCCTAAGGCGACACGATTACAGCGTGTGTCAGCGTTTACAGTTGCGAACGCCACATCCGTGGACGATGAGGTCTATTCCGACTGGCGATTTCAACTTGTCCGCTACAGAGATGAAGAAGTAAATCAATACCACCTGGAGTGCACTGAGGAGGATAGGGCCCACCTTTGTATATCGCCAATCCTCGCGTGAGTATACGTAAATCATCCATGGGTCAGCGGCTGCGAGCGTCAGACTTCGATTCTTCAGATCGACCGGTATGAGTGGCAGCTTTAAAAAGAAGCTCGTGACTAATAGATCACGGCAAGGCAGCAGAGCAACTGGGTAGGCTGAATTATTTATTGAGGCACGTATAGCACAGCTCTCGACATATAAGGCCAATTGTGGACATAGGATAGTGTGTGTCAAGCGCAGAGGTAAGGCGTTACTCACATGCAGTGGTGGGGCTGCGTAAGACCAGTATCATGGCCGTACTTGGCCTGAACTGCAGACTAAGATTATAGCGGAGAGTGGAGGTCGGAAAAACGGATCACGAGTAGAGCAAATAATGCGCCGCTAGTGATAGATACAACTTCCACCTCGCAGTACTCCAGCATGAAGGAAGAAGTTAATAGCAGGGTACAGTAGGATACACTTACATAGTACAGACCGAAGAGAGCACACAGAATAGACAATCGAGTTCGCTGGCTAGGACACCTCTTCCATGTCCTCGTCCTCGTCTTCGTCATCCTCTTCTTCCTCTTCCTCTCCGTCTTCGTCCTTGACACCATTACCCGATGGCCCCTGCGAGGGATCCGTGTACACGCTCGGACCAGGCATCCCCTCTCCCTTAACCTGCACATTCTGCGCATAAAAAACACTATGACATGACAAGCAGACAAACTCACCCCGTCGTCTTTGAAGCTCTCTCTGAGCTCCCACAAGCCGCTGTGCTCACCCGACCGATGGAGGAATGCAATCTCGCTCAGCACTTCCTTTAAATAAGCCTCTGGCTGCTGTGTACGCTCGCGCAGGATACGTATGGGCCACCGAGGACGCTCCCGGAACAGATTGAACAAGGCGTCCAGCAGCTGGTTCTTCGGTATACGGGCCATCCGCTCGAACTGGCCCTTGGCGGCCTTTTGCTTCGCAGCCTAGCCGCACTGTCAACCACGGCAGCAATAACAGACAACTGAACATACCACCAGGTCGGAAAAGCCGCCCACAGCAGCACCGCTGCTCAGCATGTTGACCATACCCTGCCCGCCAGAGACGCTGTTCTCGATCATCTGTATCGACCGTTTCGGTTCGTTGTAAAGACGGTTTCGGGCGCGCATGCGCTCTCTATAGCTTTCGTTGAAGATCGGCTTGAGATTGCACTCGTGTTTGACCCGGCCTGTCAGTATGGTCGTGCGCGCGCGGCTGCCGGGCTCTTTCTCGCGTTCGGCGACAACGATCTGGTTCTCCACAGCCGCGTTGACCATCTCAAGTTCATACTCGTCGCCAGGCGCGCCGGTGTTGCGGTCTGGCGGCAGATGTAAAGTTATGCGCGGTCGCTCGCCGTGAGCGACCTTGTACACCCGAATCGTGGCAAGATGCACGCCTTCCTCGCGGACGTTCGACCACCGCTCCATGAGGTACTTCGGAACCTTTCCAACCGCCGCGTTCCTAGTGGTAACTAGTTCTGCGAAAGAGACCGACGGGCTGCCATACCTTTACAAGCCACACTCGGCCGTTCCCCTGGTCCAGCATGAGACTCTCGTCGGGATCCGGCTGCGTTTCTTCTTCGTGCAGAGCGTGCTCGGCGTCAAAAGGCTTCTTCTCTTCCTCCATCGCAACGTCGTCCATCATGTTGAACTAGATTCCTTGCGGGTAGGGGTATGTGGGTGGTCGAAGTGGCCGACAAAGGGAGGTTTCACACGCCACCTTATAGGTAGAATTATTTAATTGGCTCGCGTTCGCACTTCGCAGGCTTATTCTCAACCCTCACCATGCAGACAAACGGCGAGAGAACGACTCTTTCTAACTCATACGTGTCGAAATACAGATACGAGGGTCTTTGGTTCGAAGATGGGAATGTCATTTTCGCCGGACCGAAATCTGAGTTCAAGGTCCATCGCGGCATTTTAGCCAGTGCCTCGCGCGTCTTCGAGGATATGTTCAGCTTGCCTCAACCGCCGGGTTCGATGGACCGGGATTCAGTTCCTGTCATACCAGTGTATGACCCAGAGACACACTTTGCGCTCTTCTTGAGAGCAGTTTTCGTTCATGGGTAGAGATTCCACTTTCTTCCGTTCGTTCGAGCTTACATTTGATTTCTTAGGTACATAGAAAGCTTTCTTCTAGAAAAGGATGCGCTGCTACGATACGAGGCGCTGTCAATACTGGGTCTCAGCACGAAATACGATGCTCCGTATCTCCGCAAGTGCTGTATCGCGTACCTTTCTCGGTTCTATCCAGCCACATTGGAAGAGTATTTTACCCGGTACGAATTTGGTGTGGCCGCGCTGTCGACTTTCGCATCATCTACAACCGAGACCGATGCCGGCAAGTTGATCACGGTTATTAACACTGCCCATTCCTATGACGTCCGGATCATCCTGCCAGCACTCATGTATGATTTGTGTACCCTCGGGATGCGATATACTATCATTGGGGGGGTTCTGTGAAAACTTGACAATATGACCTGCCTAAGGCTCTCTGCTTGAGAATTTGCTATTATTTCACTCAGGCATCACAGTGTACCTTCCTAAGTACCATCTACAAAAATAATTGTCTCGATTCACTACGTACAGAGTAATAGAGAGAGATGCCGCAGATAGACGGCACTTGCGGGGAGTAATGTAAAAACGTCACGCGCGGGTAACACTACCCGACCCGCGCGCGTCTGCCACGCATCTGTCACGCCCTTGAGCTCTTGGAGTTCTGTCAAATCTACCATACGAGCACTTCACTAGCTTGCAGCCATTATCGGGTAGGCGCCGGATGTTCAGATATATACGAAACACCTCCTCTAGCTAAGCCGATATATGCCGGGGCCGTATAGGCAGCTAGATCTACGCATCAAGCCGCCATCAGACCTCTTACAGGGGGCACTTTGGACTGTGTTCAGCCTCCCATTCAACAAGGGGCAAACTTGAGCCAATTCTTACTTCACAAATCGTCTGTAAGGTATAGAAAGTATATACGTACCAATCCGCTAAGCTCCCTGTAGCGTACTTCTTGAGATTTCGGAGTTCTGTAAAAAATCTGACTTTTACAGAACCCCCCCAATGATAGTATCTTCGAGGGTGCATCCCCAGGGCCTGGGTTACCAACAGCTAATTTATCCCATCAGGATCAGATGACCTGCGCCACCGCTCGGGAGATGATAGTGGGAGACTGGCGTCTGTACACTATTGCCTCTATCATGGACAACATCCCGTCACAGTATTGCGAAGATCCCAGGCAAGGACATCTTGGCTACGTCGATTTGGAAAACAGGTGCCATGGAAGCGTTCATTACGCCAGGCTGGTGCCATGTCTTAGCATTCGATGAACTTATCTGTTAGAAGTAATCTCGGATCTAACCTGCGAAGTCTGCTACGCCGACGTTAAAGCTACTTTCCGCGATGCAAGACAAAGTATATGGGACAGGCTACCTGGATATTTCGGCCTGCCGGAATGGTCCACGTTGGTGAGCGAGGCCCACGCTACGGTTGAAATGGTAAGCAGCGTGGATTGAGTATCAATTTATCTCACCAAGTTCCTGCAGCAACAATAGTACCATCGTTCCTCGCCCAGCATCCACAATCAAAAAATACCCCCGTTCATTCTGGAATGCACTTGCTATGCTATTCCGTTGCGCCGTATCCGTTCGGCGCATTGGGGGCAATCGAGGGACTTTCGTGTGTACCCTCGGTCTTTCCAACTACTTAGGCTCCCTGGTTTTGCAATCTTGGTATTATCCCAACAAGCACCGTGGGCCTCACGATTGTTTGTTCACCATGCTACCGATAGGCCTCGCCACCATAAGGTCACCCATTTGGAGTTTCACTCGGGTCTAACGCATGAACAAACTTCAGTGAGCCGCTCTTGAAGAATTGAACTCTATATCTCGTATCTGGTACTGGAAGTCTTAACTATGTGTCGGTAAGGACGGGTCTTCCAAAGGGTACGGTCGCGGCGACACGTTCGAACCACCACATGCGGGACTGATCACCGATGTCTAGTATAAGAGCTCCTGAATGGACGGGTGGTCGGCGTGAAGGTCTTGTGAAGTACGAAGTTGACGGAATACTCAGATCTAGAAGTGCTAGTTGTAGACAGTTTGTATTAATATTGGTGGTCTTGTATCTGGGGCTGGCAGCGGTACTTCCGAGGGACAAATATGATACTAACCTCCGTCAACTTGACTGGTTACCACAGGTATGGGCCGTATGGCACATAGTACTTCACCGTTGAAAGTAGTCCTGAAACTACGCCACAACTTGAAGCAGACGACTCGGAGCAACCGTATGCAGGATCGCCACTCGGGTTCACTGGCGTGCATTTATCTTCCTTAAGTTGCTATTTCGCCCCGGGTACAAGTGTATTAGTACGCCGTCCGTCCTATCACTAGCAGTACCTGGGTTTCTGGCTGGCACGACGTCCGGCGTCCCCTTACATGCCTTGGTCCCCTCAGAATATTTCGTCAGGTATTGCGAGGGTATGAATGGACATCAATAATTATTGCATCAGGCAGAGTCGATTCTGACCGCGTGAGCGATGAACTGGCTGTAAAACTGTCATCTGAGATATCTGTCTTGAAGTGCTGGTTTGCGCGAGCAAAAACCTGTCCCCTTTAGTTATCAGCGGTTATCTGGTCGTCGTACTCAGAAGGGACTGGTCGTTCCATCGAGGTTGTCAGAACCTATATACCCCGCTGCCGCTTTCTCTCAGCCTTGAAGCTGAAGACCGGAAATGGCGAAAGCGAGACAGAAACAAATAATGAGCCCATCATCGTGAGGGCATTTCCTCATAATTACCCCTCGGCATGATCGGAGCGTGACGTTTTCATTGAATAAAAAGCGTCGGTATACTTGGGAGTTCCTTCGTATTCTTGACTTGACTTCACTCGTAGCAGAGTCGCGCGGATAAATACCGTCGGCGTAGTACTACATAGTGTCAGACCATATTTCACGACGATGTCATCCACGACTCCGAAGCATGAGGCCGAATCAAGCTCAACTGTGGCGACGCCACACACGTACCTTTCATCAGGGCTATTTTTAGGCTTGAATATTTCAGTACGAATCACATATGACTTCTTCCGTCCAACTTCGAGGACATCCAGCTAATGGAAATTCCGGGACGCACGAGTCAGCCGGGACGTCCGACCCACAACATCGACAAATAGTCCATATTGGGATGTGATGGGTACTTACTGACATCATTGATCGTGCGGCTGTGTTGTGACTGTGTGACCATTAGCATCACACCGTCAGCCACAGCTCGCGGGAGGGGTCTCGGATGACTACCTAAGGAAAAGTAACCATGTAGATCAGTTACTAGTATGAATAGTAGGCCATACGGCAAGAGAAAATGAGCGTCCGAGGTGTAATACCTTATGTGAGGCTAATAAGCCATCACCATAGGTTGTCACGTGCTTGCGGCACGTAGCTTGCGCGTGCGCGTACCATAATATTCACCTGTGTCCGCCGTTGTCTGCAGCACATGATGAGTGACTTACAAGACATACTAGTACTTGCTGAGACACATCCTGAGCTTTTTCATGAGCTCTCCCTTACG